AGCTAAATGATAAAAGAAACATAGCCTAGAAAAGCAAGCAAGAGAAACAAGTCTTATAAAGGTGAAATTAGAAGGATCTCTATAAGATCAGATCTCCTTCGAGCTGCCCATAAGTAATGGTACACCTATGCACAAATTGTGAAAATAGGATAGATCCGCCCCCACCTGCTCGATGTTGGCGTCGTGCGAATGATCATCGTTGGTTGTGACATTGTCGACACCATCTTCACTGATGGTCGGCATCACATCGCACATCATCGCACCATTATTCCAACTCATCGCGCTAAATTAAAGTCAGGTAAAAGTTGTCAAGACTTAGAGCAGAGCTAGTAAAAAACTGTTATATTCTCTGATTAACAACACCGCATTAAAAGTTTAAGAAATATTTTCAGATGTTCAACAAATGACAGCTACATCTTCCACCAACTATAGTCCTAAAGCTAATTAGCTGATACGTTCCGGAATATGTTGCACTAACGAACAATTCACCAAGCTCCATCCTCATTTTCCATAACCCGAAACACCCAATGATATGTGAAAAACGTTGTTCTACCCTCGCAAACCTGATGCTTATAATTGCATATCAGCATGGAGGACGTCTTGTAACCATTCTCCATGACACAGCTAAAAACCACAACCTCATCAAATCCGACTTCTATATATCCTAATGAACACCACCATGATATATTGTAACGTTCCGCAAAAAATGTGTCATTCGCGGCAATCCACTTTCGAATGCAATACTGGCAAAAAATTACCCAAAGCGAATGATGACAGCAGTTTTGCTTGCGAATGGCAACAATACTAGCTGACATCGTTCGCGCTTTCTTTTGCCTATACATACATCATCCACTGTCTCCTAACATGTGAAACTTTAAAATATCTGTCATATTCTTCGATTAATGGTGTATCTGTTTGCTACACGGAAGTTTTCTTAATCCTCCATAAAATAAAGGGCGTTTCGGAAAAAAATGACCACTGTTTGATCGTTAATTGCTTTTCGATTTATTTTGAAAAATTAACCAAACTTTAACTTCCACTTATAAGCAGATCTTGTGCATCTTTCTATGATAAAATTATGGTAATGGCTTTAGGCTGGCGTAAGTCACATTATCTTAGCCCAAAGATAATCCTGAAACGCTTGTAACTAGTTGGATGAAGCAATTCAGTACGCTTAGCTAACAAAATCTATTTCATGATAAGATTATTAAATGTTAACGGCAGCGCTAAAACATTACCACTTACACTATCCTACTCAATTAAAAAAGATACAAGGTCCGCTGATTGAAAATTTAAGCTCAAGCTAGCCTTTCAAAACAATTATTTGGTAAATGGAAAGAAACCAGAAGTAAGGAAGTATTTAACAGTCAAACAATGATAACAATATAGGAACACTGTATCATTTGGTTTTCCTAATTA